TGGGTGAAAAATATACAATTCATCTCATGGTGTTTGCATTTGTTTTCGAATAAAGAACAAAAGACACTTCCATCGTTATTTCTCCCTGATCTGTTCTGAATCTGCCCTTAATTTCCCAGTCACGGTGACTAACCGTCGAGGAAATCCCTCTCTGACCGAAACAAGTGAATGTGTGCTATGTTTGCCCCGGCAGTAAATGTCAGTGCTCCGCTGATTGAATGCACGTCGACAGTGATAACTGTGGGGCGGCATGCTGTAAGGGGAGAGGGAGAGCGGCCCAGTGACCTAGACTCGTCACACACCTCCAGCACTGCTGGCCCACTGGCTAAAACCTCTCCAGACCTGGGTTAAATTCTTGTATTTGTTACTCATTCTTAATCATCTTGTGACCTGTTTGGAGAGCGAGAAACTGTGTTTTTTATCATACTTTTTAAATGGTTACCTGTGATTGCCAACCCTTTCTGGAAATCATTGCAAAAATGTGGCAAATCCCTCTCATTCGGTGCTCCAAGAAGCTTTCCCACACAGAGAGAGTTTTATGTGCACCGATGCGTGACCCAGACCTGAACTGTGCCGGATATCACAGATAGCGATGGCTGCCTGCCTTACAAAACACACAGGGATGTGAGTTTATCATTGGAAACTACAGTATTGCTGCTCTGAGGTATTTTCAGTCTGAATATTTCCAATGATTTATAGCTTTAAAAATATCTGTTACTGATTTAATCTTAGCAGCCCGTGTTCTTGTCCAACATTTACTGAACTGCTTCAAAAATACTGCGAGGTAGATAGATGTGTGCTGACCTAGTTGTGTAATAAAGCATTATGGGAATACAGACCAAGGTCATCCAGTATTTATCTCATACAGTATCTACGCTTCAACTGTTATTAATTAAAGTCTATAATTAAAATGTACAGTATATCATTATTTTATTATCATAAACTGGAGTTTAATCTAAAATCATTCAGTTTTTTCACTAAAATTCCTTCCTTCAGCGACTCGTATCAGATTTATACTGTGGTCTCATACATTCACAGAGCTAGAAATCCTTCACTTTCCAAGGGCAGCCCTCCATTATTTTATATTGTATGTGACAGACAGTGAAGATGGTAGGTAGCATACATGGTACAGGGGTCCCCAAGGGACATATACAGTGTTTGAGCTTATTGACGTTTCAGTCAAGGATACCTCAAGATGATCTCTGAAACATAGCTGATGCAAAGCTACATGTCCAGTTAACCACCATTATTACCAAAAAAAGACTGATTCTGAGTCTGCTTTTATTTGCTCCAATTAAAAGCCACTAAAGATGCCGAATGAAACAAAACATCAATACAATAAATGTTCAGGTGGTTGTAGGAAAATTAGCTCTGATCAGGAGGAGTTAGTGTTTGTATGCTCTCGTGGAAATTTACAGGATGTACAGGATGTTGACAGCACCATGTGACCAGAAACAGGTGGTACCCTCATTTCCATTCTGGGAACCATCAACAGTATTTGGGCAACTGTACTCGTCTGCCAGTGCTGTAAACATAAAGACCCAGTTTGAATGTTGAGTGTACTGTACATTCATCTGAACATACAGTATATGGCAGGTTGAGGGGAACAAAAAAGAAGAAGAACACATATAAAATAACTCCTGCATGTGTTTGCTTGATGATTTATTACATATAAATAGGTGAATTTTGCTTTAAGATGTTTCTGCGTGTCGTCAATCTGCACAGTCTCACTTTGGCCCAAATGTGTAGCTGCACAGTGAGACTGGCAACGCTGCAGGCTACAGCAGAGTGTGGCACACACACACACACAGTCAGTCAGCCTGAATAAAACTGGAGAAGGGCGCAGGGGTACAGTCTGTAAACACCTCAGTTAATGTGGTTTTGCTCACTGTCTCCTCTGTTATGACCCTTTCAATCTCAGCAAGCGGGATTTATTTGAACATAAAGAAATGATAAAGATCAGAGGAAGGGTAGCAGATAAGCTACAGGGAGCATAATTAAAGAAGAAAGAAAACCATCAATACACAAAACAAAAAGCACAAAATGACTGTTTTGCAACCCATGCAGGTAAAATCTCCATAATCCACTGATTCAGGCAGAATTTTAATGAGGTCAAATGCATATGGTACAGACATGGCAGCCAAATAGCAGAGCTATAGTGTGTAAAATCCCTCTGGCAGTGTTGAGTCCTGGAGGCAGAGCTCCCACACAACAGACGGGACTCCCACCACACAGCCTGCAGGGTGGAGCTGTCTCACTGTAAAAACGCTGCCAGCAACACCGAGAGTCCAATCACTCTGTCACAGAGGGGAGAGCTGATGCAGAACGCTGCTGTTTTCCCATTTTTGGAAAATTAGTGGTGATGCCGTGTTGGGAAAGTAGCCTGAAGGCTGAGAGATGAGGCCTTGAGACCAGAAGGGTGCCTGTTCACACTCTGAGAAAGATAGGAAAAATGTGAATATGGTGCATTATTGAGCCCGTCGGGAAATTTAGTTTTTATTTTACTCTTTTCTCTGTGTCTTCTCGTAAGGATCTGGATGAAAGCTAATGGGGTTTCTCTGGCTGTGTATGGCACAATAAGTATGTGTATTACTCACAGATAATGAGGGAAATCCTCAGTGGAAACTACCAAAGCTGCTCACTGGAAATAAGCAGCATCTGATACTGGGTTCACTGGGTTTTATTGGTTTTCCATGTGACAGAGATTTCAAATTTGCTTGCCCTTAAAGAAAAATCTGTGTGTGTGTAACTCAGTCAATATCTGCTCATAATGTTCAGCTAATATGCAGCCAGGGGGATCATTCTTTGTATGTGAGTGAAATATGTAGAAAACATCAAGAATGATGATAATAAGGTGTCTTGCTGAGTCACCTTCAGATCAAATTTGACTCCATGTGGGTTACAGGAGGTTTATTGTGCTCTTAGCCCAGCAGAAACATTTTTAAAGCACATTTTGTATTGAAACTGACACAATTAGCACACAATTTAAAGTGTAAGGTGTATATGATGGTAAGAAACACTTTAGTACAGGTGAATTTAAAGGGAGGATGTGACTTTTGTAATCAGCAAGCTTGAAATGAATAATTAAAAACTATATTCCAATGTTTGCACTTGTTTTTATTTTGTACAATATAGGATTGGGGAAGCTTACTTAAAAGAATATGTTTAAATGTCTTTTTGTGTTGGTAAAGGACGTTTATCTTCCTCATCAGGACTAATTTTGACTTTAGGTATACATTTTACAAGTATATAAAGAATAATATCTAATCAATGGCATTTGTTTTTAATGATTTCAAACTTATAAGGAGTAAAATAAAATTGTGAAGTGCCAGATTACAACCCCCTCGCCTTACCCAAGCATTCTAAGGTTACAAAAACACAATTATCCCTATATTCAGGTGATTATACACTAATAAAAACATTCCTATTAATATCATATTCTATTTCTGCCAATAGATCCTCCTAAATGTAACACACTGGACCTTTAAAAGGCCATTTGATTTAGAATATGATGCTATTTTAATGAGGTTTATCTTAGCTTTAAGCCTTAAATTAAACATAAAGAACAAACAACAAAGTTTAGTCACCATCTCTTCATTTGTAAAACAAGTCTACGACTAAATTATGCTCCCATTCACTATCTGAAGGCTAATTGTAGTTAGCGGTTCAGCTTTACTCTAAGCAAAGCTAGTAGCATTATGAGTTAGAGGAAACACTTTATAATGTTTAAGTTTTTTCAGAAACACATTAAAAAAACGAGACTATGAGAATATAGCTGTGTAGGAAGAAGCCACCTTATACACTCAACCAGAGGGTATTTTGTCCTGTAAGTGTTAGAAAAAGGATGGACAATTAAAAATGGCTGCTGTTACTGTCTGTTGTATCTAAGCAACACATTTTACATTTACTGCCATTTGTTGCGTTTTAATTTTACATTAATGTGTCTTTTTGTTTCACTATTCCACAACCAACTCGACTTCTGCTGACAAAAAAAACAGTTATATAAGAATTTAATTCACCCTCTTTTGTGTAATAATGTTAATTATTTTTTATATATTTATTTGGTATAAAAGTTGTGGTCAGTGTGCAGACCGAGCGGGGGCGCCATGATGGAGGCTGCAGTGTGGAGGCTCGCAGGAGGGACGAGCCTCATCCAGACTGCTGCCATTGGCTCCTGCGACGTTATAAGTACAGGCAAATGGCATTTACCGGCTCAGAGCAGGCGGAGACACAGGGGGAGACACAGGGGGAGACACAGGCAAGGCAAGTTGGGAGGCACCGAGACCGCATCTGTCGACGATTCACAGGAATTGGACTGATTTTCTTACATTTAATCCCGAGTGAAATCAATGAAGGAGAGACGCTCGTGTCAGAAATTATCTCTGAAATCCGGCATGGATCCCAGTCAGAGTGTGAAGTGTAAGATAGTGGTGGTGGGAGACAGCCAGTGCGGGAAGACTGCCCTGCTTCACGTGTTCGCCAAGGACTGTTTCCCTGAGGTGAGACCCTGCAGACCCTGCAGAACATGATGCTAATTAACCTGGTTTTATTAATACATATGATCATGATGTCCTGATGGTAGAAGGGTGTAACAGATGGGTTACTGCTCCAGTAAAAGATGAAGGATATGCCCTGTGTGTTACCTGTATGCTGCATTTATATTAGTATGTGTAGCTTATAATAAATGTCTAACAGTGCTGCAGTAGTTTGCCTGCAGTGTGCACACATAGTTATTGTGTTATCATCTGTTTATTTGCTCATTTTCTGCTCATTTTGATCTTAAAGTTTAAGATATAAACAGTTGATTCCCAACCCTAATGTTCCCTCTGTTGGTGTTTCTCTGCAGAGCTACGTCCCCACAGTGTTTGAGAACTACACAGCCAGTTTTGAAATCGACACGCAGAGGATTGAGCTCAGTTTGTGGGACACCTCAGGTAATTTACACCTTCCATCACTTCTCCTGTCTTGCTTCATGTTGGGTGTCACTGCAAAATCAGTGTGTGTGTGTGTTAGTGTGTGTGTGTGTGTGTGTGAGAAATGTCGGACATGTTCAAACATGCACAAGCCCTCTGTGACCTCTCTGGACATGCTCTTTATATATGATCAGATAGAGGTAGCGTTTTCATAAGCTGACATTGATGCTGAGGTGTTTCACTTAAAATGTCTCAAATCACGTGATACTAAAAAGGCTTGCGTTTTTTGAATAATGAAATTAATCCGACCCATTTTAATCAATGAAGCTGGGTTAATCCTTTCTCATAGTCTGGGAGTTGCTGTTCTACAAGCCAGACACGTTTTCCCCCTTCAGATTGTCAACTTAACCTTTTACCTACATAGGAACTGTTAGTGTTATAGCTCAGCGTTAACACAGAAATGCATCAGTGCTTGTTTTTTGATTTATGAATTCCTCCCAGCTGAGTAAAGCCGGAGCAGCAACAGGAAAGAAACGATAATGACAGGCTGAGTGGAGCATATTCATACATCTGGAGAACACACTTGGAAATCCTCCCTATTGCAGTTTTCGGGAAAAGTTGTGCAACACGTGTACTGAGTCTCCCAAACTTTTATCGCCCGTGGTTGGACTTCAACCAGGGTCCAAACCAGCTGCTGCATTCGCTGTGTGTGTGTGTGTGTTGAAATGTGCTTAAATGTGTGATGAGTGTAAACAAACGCACTTTCCCATCCATCAATGCCCGAGCAGTGAATAGCACAGCAGTCAGGCGTGAGTAAGCCGTATGTTGCGTGTGTGCGAGCATGTGGTGTGTGTGTGTGTGTGTGTGTGTGTGTGTGTGTGTGTGCATGTGTGGGGGGGTGGGAGATTT